CCCATCAGAACGCATTAGCATTGCTGCCACTGTCCCGGCGAGCCACTCTCCTCCAGTCCGGGGGCTATTAGACGAGGGATTTATAACCAGCTTTTGTCCTGGTTTCCCAGCCTACATTTGCTAATGCTGCCTTTGTTTCCCGTGGGAGGGCTGGCCGAGCTCCTGCATTAGGGCTTTGCATCCCTCCCGGGCAGCTCCAGACCCTTTCTCCTGGCCCCGGCAGAGCGCTGCCCGGCCACGCACGTGTCGCGGTGGGGCCGGGACAATGCTCCTAAGTGGGGTCAAAGACAGAGTCCCCATGGGCAAAGGGGAGGGGGCAGGTCCTAGAGGTTATTCTCCTCCAAAGGCTGGGCTGGGAGTTGGATTCAGACCTGTAGGAAGATGTCTGCACCTTGGACTCCAGCTGGGATCCTTCCTCTTCTGCCAAAATGTTTTGTATTTAAAAAACTACAAAAATATTCTTATTATATTAATCTAGGCAAGATTAATTTGATTAACTAATTAATTTCCCATCTTATAAACCACAATCTCCCCTGGGGAATTTATGCTCATTTTAAACAACCTCCAACCTGTCCTGGAGCTCACCCTGGGGCAGATGCCTCCTGCCCCATCCATGTGGCTGGCCCCGTGCCCGGGGGTGGGGGCGGGTCCCCCCCCAGCTGCACTCCCACGGGGAGCGGGGGCAGGAACGACACTGGATCCCGAACCACGGATCTCCGCGTGCCGATGGCGATGAGGAGCAGGGATTAGGGGGGGTCTCTGCCGTACCTGTGATGGCGTGGTGGGAGAACGCCTCGACGTAGATGAGATAGTTGTGCGGGCAGTGCTTCTTCAGCCATTTGCACACATCCTGCTGGGTCCAGAGCACCACCGGCTTCGCCAGGCTGCCCAGCGTGGGGCTGGTGTGGTAGATGCCATAGTGATCGCAGCCACGGCCCTGAGGGGAGTGGGAAGGGGAGGGTGTTAACAGGGTTGGGCCCCACGAGGAGGAAAACGCAGGGAGGTCGGCCCATGGGGCTGGGGGAGATGCTGGCTGGCGGCACGGGACTGCGGTGATGCCGCCAGACTTTGGCTTTGCACCCTTTGGACACCTTGGGGTCACCCCGAAACCCTGGGCATTGGAAGAACTGGTGAGGGAGGCACAGAGAGAGGGGATGGGAGGCTGAGGAGGGGGTCCTGCCCTACACAGACCCCACACCCAGAGCTCCCTGGCCCTCCTGCTGCAGGCAGGAGTCCCAGACCCCTCCGCTGTGCCTCTCCCAGCCCAACGCAGCTTGGCACAGGCTCAGGGGATGGCCCGGGGGTCCTGCCCTCGCTGGGCAGAGAGGGGCATTTGCTGGCAGCTCTCAGTGGGGATGGAGCCAGCGAGGTCCCGAGGGGCAGTGGGCACAAAACCACCCCCACCAGAAGGAAGCTGGTGCCCAGGGGGACTCCCCCTTTCCCTCCATCTCAGTCTCCTTCAAGCCTGGGCTGCCCAGCCATGACGAGCCTCACCAGTGGCTAAAGCCACTCTGTGCCCACAGCTCTTTTCTGGGATGCTGCCGTGCCTGGAGACACTCTGGATAATCCTCAGTGCCCCAGCGCGTCCTTGCCTGGAGACACCCTGTATAAACCAAGGTTACAGTCCTCAGTGCCCTGGTGGGTTCTGGTCACCCTCCAGCTCCTGGCCACCTCTGCCATGGAATTCTGCCCCTTGCCCGGACGGAAAAAAAACCCCCCCGCCCTGCCTGTCCATCCTCAGTGCCCAGCAGGCACCTGTATCATGGCAGTGGGGGACCAGGACAGGCAGAGCCGAGGGGATGGAAGGGGAGGAGTGATGCCCATGGGGAGATGGAGCTCCACTGGCATCGCCTCCCGGCAAGTCTTGCCCAAAGCCTCTTGGTAGCTCCATTTCCTCACCCACATCCCGGCCACTCCGGTCTCACGAGGTGGCTGCAGCCTTGACTTATCTTTGTACAGAGCAAATCAAACGCCTTGAGCCATAACAGCACAACGGGATGAACCTGCTTCTCCTGGGAAGAATCCTCAAGGCTGGCTGGGAAATGGGTCTGGGGGATGCAGAAATCCCCCTGTTCCTGGTTTTAGTGCTCAGGGGAGATTGGCGAGCTCTCTGCTGCCGGCAGTGCCGAGACTTCATCCTCGAGCGGCACCAGCGAACATCGCTCCTCCAAATTGTCTCCCTGCGCCGGAGCTGCCAGGGTTGTCCACAGGCAGGTGGGGATGGAAAAGGGGTCCCCGCTGCCTGCGCCTGGAGGGGACTGGCTGGCCAGTGTCCCTCACGCCACAGCCCCCACCCATGTCCAGGGCACGAAGCAGCAGCTGATGTGGGTACATGCCGGCACGGGAAAGGTCGACAGCGCTTGGACCATGGCATGCCGGTCGACCTCCGCGTGTGAACATTGGCTAATTAAGCATGCCTAATAGAGGAGTGGAGATAATTAGTGTAACAGGGACTCCAGACATCCTGCGGTTACTGAAACTAATGACACGTCCCTGAGAGATGCCGAAGAGGAGGCAGCGGAGGGCAGTGGGGTCCGGGACGTCTCCCTTGGCCCCGTGCGGGGCATCGCTCACCCTCCTGAGCCTGGGCAGCCTGGTAGGGGCTGCTGCTGCGCCTGGAGCTGCATTGGGGCTTGGAAAGGGACCTCTTCTCAAGCAGACCCCCCCTGTGACACCGGGGGACACCTCAGCAAGAGGGGAGAAGGCACAGTTGGGAGGTTATAAAATAATACCCAAGGAGCCCGTCTCCAAAGCAGATGGAAAATGCGACAATGTGCACAATTCGGATTCCCAATGAAACACTCACCTTTGGGGGAACCCCCAGCAGCTGCCTGACACCAAAAAAAAGGGCGACCCCCCGGCCGCTGCCTGCCCCCCCCCACCCCCCAGCCAGATCCCTGCGCCGGCCGCGTGGCTCCTTCACACTCGGCTGAGCGTGCCGGAGAGCGTGCCGCGGGGAGGAGGAGGTGATGGACCCACTAACAAGCCATGATGAGAAGCGGAGAGGAAATAGCGCATGCGGGAAGAGGTGACAGACAACCGGCAATTTCCCTGGACACGCTCACGCAAGCGCTTCACCTGTCAGACACAGCCCCGCGCTGGGGACCCACCTCAGCACCCCCAAACTGCCGACTCGGGGGGCATCACGTGAAGCAGGTCCCTGAGCGAGCCCCTGCGCTCCCTGGGTGGGAAGGGGAGGTGTAATGAAT